AAAGTGCAAAAAACCGATGAAAAATTGCTCTTTTAAAGTTTACAGATGAAGGTAAAGTATGGGGAAAATTTGTTAAAAGTCGACTTACAAGCGCTCATTTGTTTAAGAAGGTAGAACTAGTGGTTTGTCGAAAGAGTTGCCTACAATCTATGGGTGTGTTTTGATATCTTAAGCAAAGTTTTCGTTGATTTTGCCCTTCTTCTACTCACCATCTTCGCCAGATCGACTTTACAGGCCACGAAATCAACTTGTAAACGGCGAACACAACAAAGTTCATAGCCAATACGGTTGAGACCGTATAACCAGTTTCACGCCAGGTCGAGATCTTAATGTGAGTTTGAATACTCAGCAAATGTTCTGTTGGTAAACGAACAGAAAAGAACATGAAAGAAATATTAAAAAAATCGAGTTGACTTTCCTTTTTTTCGGATAATACAGGAATATTTCAGGGGGTATTCACAGAAATCCTAGGGGTATTTCCCATAACGCTCTCTACTCACTGTGTACATATTGCTTGTAAAACTTGATGGCAACTTCAACTGTCTCCAAAACGTATTCGAGCGCAGGTTCAAGAGGTTTACAGTTCCTTTTAATTGCTTTCCATGACCAGTCTGCTAGCCGTTTCACTTCTCTCCATGCCCACTCGGCCAACCGATTCGATCCACTCCATGCGTTCTCAACTAACCATGTTGCATTTTCCTTGGAGACACCGACCAACCATTCAATTTGATCCCTTATCCATTCCATTCCGTTCCAGGTCAGCTCCGTCAGCCGTTTAGTATTGTTCGAATACCATTCAATCAACCACAAACTTCTTTCGTACACATATTCATCTGCCCACATCATGGTTACAAAAACCCAATCCGCTAATGCTTTCAGTTCTTTCCAGATTATACCGACCCTTTCCATCAATCCTTTCCAAATTCCACCGATCCAGTCCAACATTTTTATCCAAATTTTACCGGCGAAATTCAATAACCATTTCATTGCGTTCCAAATGTTCTTAACTGTTGTTCCAACGCCGTTAGAACAGATTTTCCAAATTTTAACCATTTTTGTGAACAAAAAGCTCCAAGTATTTTTTTATCATCGTTGCCACCCGCGTGATCAGTCCTGGTTCTTTCCGTTTGAATACTTGGTACTCAGAGCACGTCATGTTCCCAGGGTACTCAGGTAGTTCTTTGCACTTGAGAATCTAACAGAAAAACGGGCGAAAAATTTATGGTTACTATAGATATCTAAGTTAAAAAATCAAAATATATCACTGAGGAAGATTTTGCGTTTGTTTCTTACTCTATATATCCTCTGGCTCTTTTCGGAAAAGAAACTTATAGCAAAGAAAATAGAAGGAAATACCATCCTGGTGAAACGCAATATTTGCAGATGGAAAACTGCATTGAGAAAGAAATTCTGAGTAGTGGTCATATTTATACCTTTCCAAGGTTCGGTGGATCGTTTCCAAAGGGTGGATCGTTCAAATTTTTGGAGCCTTCAGGGAAAATCAGTTTCATATCCAGATCCAGCGACAATACCTGAATCCTTATTACATATTCCTATATATGAGGAGGGAAAGAGAGACATATTAACTCACATTCAGCCTACTGATTGTTATTACGAAATTCGATCGTTAGTCGGTAAAAGAAACATGGATGATCACAGTGATCATTTTTCTTACATCGAATCTAACAAATCAGAAACAAAGTTGGTTACAATTCAAGCACGCTATACATTTCGGTGAAGTACGTCAAGTAAAAATTACTTGGGCTGTCCACAACCGCTGAACTCATTACAGTTGCAGATGTTGTTCCGAAACTACTGACCAACCTTTTCGTTCCAAGTTCCGACTACGGACGTGTCCTCGTTGAAATCTTCGAACGGTAGCTTTTGCCATTCAGTGGCTTGAAAATCTTCACGTGCAAAATAAAAATATATCCATCAGCATCACCATTATTTACCAACTATTTCTTACAGTCATACCCATTAGGAATACATATATGGACGTAAAAGTTTTTGGTAGAAAAAGAATTGTGTGTGTAAATAGAAAAATAACCGTTGAAGCGCGCGTTCAACAGGTTCAAGAAAAAACAAGCGCGCCCTGCACAAGGTTCACATCCAGGTCAAACGCGGCTAAAATCGGTGAAAGCAGCCATGCCCACACAAACATGTTGTTTCTCCCGAGAAAGTGTGAAAAGTTTGTAAAATGCCCCGTTAGCAATTTGGAGACTGGTTGTAGATTACACTCCTCTTACAGTTATAAATTCGTACTTTATTACGAACGATTCGCCAGAACAAATATTTATGATAAATACTGAATTACTAAATACGATCTCGAGAGACTAAAAATGTTCAAATGCGATAGAAAAGAGCGAAAATTCATAAGAAAAATTAGAATACTTACAAGATCCGTACGGCTACTCCGAAAAAACACAAAAAAACTAACTTACAAGAAAACAATGCTAACTTTTATACTTATTTGAACCAGGAAAGAATACAGCAAATGAACTTATGTAACTAACAATAAACGATTACGTAACGCGACGCCGAGAACAAAAAAACTACGAATACTTTGAACAACAGCACTAAAAACCAAACTTTACGTGATGAAATAACTGGAATCATTAGACAACAAAGAATTGACAAAAAATTCGCGGAAGAATTTACTTCTCGTGGCTACGCTGTTGAACAGTCTCTTTTGAAGCAAATGAAACCTGATAGCACCGTAAGTCATTGGGAAACGTTTTACGGAAATGAAAGTGAGGATTCTTTCACACATTTTCTGTTCCGAATTGTCGTCTGCAAGAAAAAAGTAACGCCTTTGAAACATTTGAGAACAGCGCTGGAACTTACCTTCGTGTTTTCTAGCATATGTAAGCGCTGTTAATTGAAGCAAAATTGCCATCACAGTAATCAAAATAACAATCTTTCCCATTGTTACCACACGTTTTTCCTCTCACACAAAAAAACGCACGGCTTCAATCCGAGAAATAGAGCGAAATGATATTTTGACGTCACAGTTTCAGTTTATGACGCACTTGCGCGAGACAAGTCGGTCCCAGACTCCTCGACTTTTCTTTCTGGTTTTTGAGAGAGTCTTATTGTGATTTTTTTTCCAATGCAAGGAATTCTGTTCGTTGCCTGCCCAAAAAAGAAAGGAAAAATTATGGTAAAAAAATTCAAACAACTTCTTTTGGCTTTTTCTAGTTTAATTAGCTGTTTTTTTTTTCCTTTGGGTAATGTTTTATTTGCCCAAACATGGACGTGGTTAAACTGCACTCTTTGGATGATATTACTTCATTTAAAACACAAAAACCTGTCAATAACTTTTTAATACTGTATATGCAATCCGTCGATGGAGTAGCCTAAAATACACACGCACATTTAGCGAGTTGCGTAGTATTTTCCGAGTTCCCGAGGAATGAGAAAAATTTACCTTTTCGGGTATTTTGGCTTGTAACGTTCCTTACGGCCTCATCTGAGCATCGTATCGATCGTATAAGGCATATGCGAAAGACGAAAACAAGACAAAAGAAGCCACTGAAGTGTTCCTTATAACCAGCAAAACGATTTGATGCCCAAAAGTAAAGTTCGTTGCTTTGTAATCCACTATGGAATAACTTCAGAAAAATTAGGAGACGGACTTTCAGCCTCCGGTTTAAGGTCTTCTGCCTTGAATGGAACCTTCTTCTTCATAAATTTTCCATCAATTTCATGTTGCGTTCGACGTTAGGAAAACGCATACTATTCGTGTTGCCTTTCTCTGGATGCTAAGCATTTTGGGGGTTTGAGCGTCATCCTGGATTTCCTCTTCCTTCGTTGTTCCACATCTTTCTACTTAGCAATTATTCAACGAAGTGAGGGTGGGTGAATATCTACTACTTTCACTGACACTGTGGTGAATAATTGTTTGAGAATATACCACTCAGAAACCCAAAACTGAGTATATTTCTGTAAAAATGCCTTAAATTTCTGGAAATCTAAGCTCTCGACGGGCGAATTTGTCTCATCGGCTGCCCGGAGGTAAATAGTACTTGCTACGGCACTTTCGACCTCACCAATCAGCGCGCGAGTAAAGTACTAGGGGGAACTGACTGACCACTTAAGTAGGTGAAATGCGAGAGCTTTAAATCGTGGTCCCGCGGGTTGACTCCCATCGGTTTGGATGCAATGGGAAGGTAAGTAGACAATTTGCAGCCATTTGATAGAACGAAATGAGTTACTACAAAGAGCTGTGGGCCACGCCAGCATTCGATGTTGGAAGATTTGATTATACACGAGACATGAATATGCATTCTTAAGCTAGATCGAATGCACTTTACGTAACCATGATTATTCATTTATTTATTCGCAACATTACTTTTCATGAACCTTTCTACGAGCACTAACAGGGTTCTACAAGAGACGCACTTGGTCGAACAATGAGATCATTGAGCCCCCAGTGTAGTTTACCAGCAGACTATCTGGGAAAATTGTGCGCCATTTGTGCTAAATCAATTTTTATTTGCCAGGCTGCCAGGCGTCGATTCCAGTACACAAATTTACATATCATAACGACAAGAGAAGCGAATATAACGCGGTTACGGGATTGTCGGAGAGCTTTCGAAAGCGTGTGTTCGTTTTCGTTAAAGTGTGGTTCGAGAAATATTTCTCTGGATGAGAAACGGCGGCTAAAAATCCCCGTATCTTTGTGGGCAACATGATATGAAAAGGAAGTGACGTCGTAAGGGTGGGCTTCGAAGCAAAGTGTGAGTGATACTTCAGCGAAGTTGTCTGTTTGCCGTCCTTAAATATCGCCGCCGCAATCCGATAACGCCGTATGACAGTGCTGTGTGCCAAGCCGACGTGGTATTTCGTAAGATTTTCTCCATGTTGATAGCTCTCAGCGAACGATTTTTGAGGGACGTTCTCGATGGATCGCCACCTACGTTCATCTACGTCAAGTGTGAATGGCGACGGTCACTGTTATTACGACAATGAATCGAGTTACCAAGATACAGGCGTCTACGATTGTGATGGCAATATGTTGCCAGACTTACTGGATTCTCAAATAGACAGTTCCCTAAAAGGATTGGACATGGGTGCCATAAAGAAAAACTCTTACGATCGAACTCGAGCTGCGATGGCGGTAAGACCAAACTTTATTTAAGGGTTGTACAATTGGAAGTGCTTTTATTTCACAAGACATTTCGATTGATCGATTGAGTTGTAGTTGAGGGTTTAGTGTTGATCCATTAGTATTACTCATTCATCAGTGTTTCAGTTTCCCTGGCAGGAAACAGCTGTAGAGGCAGTAATATTGTGGTTTGGCGTTTCTGTTGAAAGTCGATTTAGGGTTTTAACTTGTTCTGCATGAACTGATCATCTCTCGGGCGCGTGATGCAACGGAAATTTAGGTACGCACTTGAAATCATAACACAGGAATGCCGTGTTATGAACGTATTGCTAGATTCTACATAGAAAATCTGTCGGAGCCGAAGATAGTATGACGGGCCTTTTTCGAGTACGATGTTAAGATTCCCTTCGTGATAATAGCCTGCGATGGAAAATTCTTCTGTTTTCCATGTCAGCGTATAAATGAAGTGTCATAAAGGCGGATTTGATTAAACAAACATAAATCCCCAGATGTCAATTTTCCATGTGTCTGATATTATTTTGGAGGCATTAAATAGAAGTTCTTTTCCATTTCTCAACGGTAACAGCCATTACCTAAAAACATATTGTTAATGTTCCTAGAATCTTCTAACTGAAAGTTGATTTAATGGAAAAAAACAAGAATTGCAAAATCATATGTGCTGTTATTGATAATTTAATCGGGGGAAAGTTTCAAAGAAACCTGAGGTCTATTGTCTTATCTCAACATCAGCTTTGTTGGGGTGTTAGTTTTAAACAACCTGTCAATAAATTGTGAATCCCTTGGAAATCACCGTGAAGAGCTTAATAATTGAAGATGGTTTGAGATAGTGACCTCCAGGAGTGCTAGAGAGTGTACAAAAATAGGACTTTGAATGATGAATAACTGGCAGTTTGCCATACTTCCAGGAATTTCAAATTTAATGACAGTGAAAAGTGAGTCAGATATTTTAGTCTTGTTTTAAATTTTCTTGAGCAACAAGTTGGACTCTGCAGGAATTAAGTTTGGGAGATAAGTTTGGAAGATATCAGTGTAAGCTCTTGGATTTAGGGGATTAAAATAGCCCATGATTTCAAGATTACTGTTTTTTTCCTCTTTGTGTCTGCTTAGACAGGGCTTTCATCAAGAAGAGTATTAGTCAAATAGTAGTTTAAAATGAAAAAGAATGCTCCATTTTTCTTGACTAAAAACAGCTCTGGATGTCAAAACATACACAGAAAAATCTGCATAGTCAACAATTTTCTTATATCTTATGTGTAATGAATACTCAGACATGATATAAAATCTAAGAGGTTAGATGGTCAAGAGCTGTGTATTTAGTAGGACTTTTTGCATGCCACCCATGTTTTCATATTCTCTCTGGTCTGTAAAGACTTCATGTGATACCATTCAAACAAATCATTTAGTCCGCTTCAAGAGATAGCTGATTAAATGGGCAAATATTTAAATCACCTTTATTTAGAATTTGAGTTCAAAGGGAAGTGAAAGTACTATATTTTGTTTATTTTTCCTAATACAACAATGAATTTTTTTAATCAATCTGTTTGCACAGATTCATCACTAATGGGAAGTTCATGTACTGTGCTGTTGTTTTCTGATAGTGTATTTTCTTGCAAGTATCTTAATGACAATCTAAGATTGTGGCTAGAATTTGATGCCTTCTTTTAAACTTTTAATGCGAGGTATTTGTGTTTCTAACTTATCGCAGTACACACATGTATATCTCTGAACACCTCTTCTCATTTAATTTTACATAAGAACTGAATGAAAACCGATATGCAACTAGTTTCTTCTGAAAAAATTATTTCACAATCAGTAAGATCTAAGCTGATCGTCTGATCAACTTGAAACTTAAATCTAGGAAATACAAACTTAAGGGTGAAACATCATTTATAGGGATTTTAGGATCCAAAAAAATTGTGGATTGTTGAACTCTCACTGGAACACACTGATTACCTTTAGTTTTTATGAATGCTTGTCTTAACCATTGAACTCTTATGAGCGACCAAGACTGAATTTCTCCCTACAATACTTATGCAGAGTCAAGCAGACAAGTAATGAGAATAAAGTAAAATATCAATTAGGGATTATCAGTTGATCCAGTACCAAGTTCTCCAAAGTAGCATTGTAAGAATTGTATGGCAGACAGTAGGGAGAATTACTAATAAGATCTTAGGAGTGAAATGGCTAAGTGTGAGTGTCTTTTCATCACTACATGTGAGGGATATGTATTTATGAAATTCTTAATTTGCTTGATCTCAACAGGCAATAAATCCAATGCTAGCGAAAAAAGTGTTACCTCTGGTAAGTGGAAATTTTTCTACTGCTTTTTCTCCTCCTGCTATTTTTCAGATAGACCTAAATGCAATAACATTGTTGTAGAAAAAAGCAAATGCATAAAACTGAAAAGGAAAAAACCAAATAGAAATTAGCATATTGAAATACCCTCTAGCTAGAGTACATGCCCGGCAGCCAAACAATTCTCACATAATTTCCACTGAAAAATTATTTCAAACTTCTTGAGAGTCTTAAATGTTGGGTTAGAATTTTCAAGAAGTTCCAAAAATAGAGAAAGATGTTTTTCATCTTGACACGAGTATGGGACAAAGAAAAAAAAATTCTGAGTCCCCATGGGGAATCAAACCTCAGACCTTTAGATTCTGGTCTGAGGCTCAATTCCTTATGGGGACTCAGAATTTTTTTCTTTGTCCTAAGCTCGTGACAAGACCAAAAACATCTTTCTCTATTTCTTTTCCAAGCCCAAAACTTACCATCCCTCTTATTCTATGTACAAGTTCCAAAAAGATAAAAAGAAAATTCATGCTAACTAACTTGAATTTGGCTTTTTCTTATTTTTCTATTTTGATTTTTTATGACATCTTTACTGCAATTTGGTGTAGATTTGTAGTGACTTGAACTACTGTACTGGGCATTGCCTTTTTACTTCTGAACAAGCTTAAAGAAAAACACATTAATGTTTTTAGCTGAATTGTAACTACTACATCTCCTTGATCATTTTTTGTAACTTTTAGAGGAATCATCCTTTGAGAAAAGTAAATTTGTTATTTTTTGTGGTGGCTTAAATTAAAAGTGGGTTTGAGAAATTCTTATCGATGATGTAAAAATAAATTTAAGTTGTGGTTGATGACTTTTGGGTTTGTTATTGTATGACTACTAGAAGTCATAGCTCTGCAGACAAATCCTTACAATGCAGACAAAATGTCTGGAGGTGCCAGGACCATATCAACACATCCAGTTTTCCTTAGGATATTTATGTTTTGAAGCTGAGAGACATGTTTGAAAAATGAACAGCAGTGGGTACATCTAATTATGGGAAAAATCTTTATCATCTTCTTGGATGTAATCTCAAATTAAGTAAATGTTTCAAAAAGTACTGCAAAGAAACATACAAAGCTTGTTCTGTTAGCTGGGTCTTGTGTTGACAGGGTGTCGTGGCAGTTCCGCAAAATCAGTTGATGGAAGTTTCTAGGTGTTTTAAGTCATAGAATGTAATTGTGGGACATGAAACATCAATTGAAAAAAGGATTGGAAGAGATCACACAAAGTAGTCAATTTTTTTTTAAGCCCAAAGAAGTACACATCCTATACTCATGGTTTATTTTTGATAAATTTTATTTGTTTGGGAAGGTTAGAACTTTCCTAATACAAGTCACAGTTCATATTAAGAGTCAGAGCTCCAAACGATAAATTCCCCAATTTTAAATCATAAATTTTGTCTTTTGATTTTCACTGTTATTTATTTCTTTTTAATCTCAGCCAAATGAAGTGACAGTAGAGGAAGCCGCAGCAATTAGTATTCAAGCTTATTTTAGAGGATATTTAGCCAGAAAGCTTTTTGTTCAGCTGCTCTATGAAAGATTCATCAAGGTTGGTTAAAAACACAAATATGTCAAAAGTACAGTTCTGCTTGGCTTTACAATTATAGCAATGTTGTCAAGTGATCTGCCATTGGTCTTGCAAAGTTCTTTGAGGCACCCTTTTAATCCTTAAAGCTCCCAGAAGTAACTGACCAACACAGAAATTCTTCACACATTATCAATACAAGATCAAGGAGACAAGAAATGAAAATAAAGAAAAACATCAACCAGGGGATTAATAATTGATTCAATACCAAATTCTTAAAACTAACATCATATGAATTGTACGGCAGATGTTAAGGAGAATTACCAGTGAGATCTTGGGAGTGAAAGGATTAATTTCAAAAATTACTTTTCTGAAATAGTTAAGTTTATAATTCAGTGCTTTTTTTTGCTTGAAATGCATGGTAAATTCAGTATTAAGCTAATAGTTAAGTGGCCGTCATGTGTACTATGAGTGATTATTATTCAAATTATATGCATCCTACTAATGTTCCTGTGATGTGTTTATACATGTACTTTAAAGAGATAAAGATCACTTTTGAAAATTGAAGGAAAATGATAAGATTTCAAGCTTGCACAGAATCTTGCTCTTGGTTATTTTCAAATATTTTTTAATAGGCAATAATGAAGCCTCCTACTCCTTAAGACAGGGATGTTGTTTAAATTTTAGCTCTATCTGTTGAATAAACAAATGAGGATTGTACATTATTATGCCATATAGCCATTGCTTATTCACTTTAACTTGTAAATTTTATTCAACAGTTTTATACAAATTATATTCAGTCTGGGGATTGTGAAAACTTTAACTGAAATGTCACAGATAATCTAAGAAAACAATTACTCTGTGGTAATTTCTGACTGATAAGCCCTCTAACTAGAATTGATTCAGACATCTCCTGAGTGTTTGTTCAGGTTGGAATATCCTTTAGTTTATTTTGTTCAGTTTTCTCATAAAGACTGTGGCAGCTAATTTAAATAGGAATTGAATTTTGTTTTGCTGTATTTGATGGATGTTGTTCTTGGTGATAACTGTAGGAGGAAGAAGAAAGAGAAGCAAAAATGAGAGAGCAAGTGGAAGAAGGAGAAATTCTGGTGGAAAAGTAAGTAGAATGGATGATTTCACATCTCTTTTCAATGGTTAATGGTTCATTGTACAAATTTATCTTTAAACACAAGGCTATGGATGGATATGTCTGCAGGGTTATTCAAATGTATATTATCACATTTTGATTCAGATGTTCTTTAAATGACCTAAAATAGATTTTTTGTTAAATTGCTACCTTCGTTATGATACAGAATTTTTAAGGAAGGAGATATATTTTATATCTACAATTTTACTCCTGTGGTATTTTATTGGAAGGAAGACTATAATGATATTATGGCTCACTGTGCATATGCCGTAGACACAATGAAACTGATTGAATTTATGATTTTAAGGCTATCCATTAGAGAGCATATTTTTCATGTGTGTTCTTATCCATGTTTTGTAGGAAATGTTGTTAAGTTGCTAATAAGATTAACATTGCAGAGTTTTTTCTAACTATATATGGTAGATCTTTCAAATTTGCTGCGTCATAAGTTCAAATCTGCATAATCCCACTGGTAGCAAAGCTGGATTCCAATTTGTTTACAATTTATGTAACTAAAAAAGTCCATGAATTCAGATTTTATAGCTCAATACTAAAATAGTGCATTAAAATGTGCACAGTATTTCTCAAGTTAAAACTTTGAATTTTGGTTCACTCCAAACCTAATTTGAGTCTTTTTTTTGTCTTCATTTTTAGTATGAGAAGGATTTTTTCCATAAGCTTTTTGATATTTTGTATTAAAATCTCCTTTTATTGGCAGAATATCATTGAGGAAGATGTATAGAATTTTTGATATTGTACAAGATAAGAATAACATGCCCTTATTTGGAAATAACTTTCTAGATTTTTTTAAGCTGGCTGTCCTTCAAAAAAGGTGATTTTATGAGTTGCTTCAAGACAGCAATTTGAAAGTCGTGTTTTGTGTAGGACCTGACTCTGAACTGAGTTGTAAATTGTTGAAAATATAAAGGGAATATTACATCACATCCAAAAATAGTACAGTGAAAATTTTTTGACCGTTTTGTCTGGGGCTTTTATGGTAAAAAAATAATAGAAAATTTTCCCATTTCAAAACCATACAGTGTCAATTTTATTTTTAACATTTTGATGTATCAAACTTGAAATTATAATGCATGTAAGGGTTATAGAATAAAACAAAACACAGAGGGTAATTTTTTTTTAATCAACCACAAAATGCCAAAAATAACATGGGCTGAGTTTATGGTGATAGATTGAAAGCAAGATTTTATTTGTAATACTGGTATGTGGTGTTTCTCACTTTGTCATGTCCAGACATGTGAATATATTTAATTTTAAGTCACTGTTCTCATTAATGAATTTTTCTGTACAGAAACAGTCAAATTTCTTCATAATGTTTTTTACTTTTATTTTAACAGCTATCGCTTGAACCTTGAAATGGAAGAAAATACCTGTTTGCGCAAAAACCTCCGGCGAGGAATTGAATGTGATGTTATAACGTGAGTTTCATTCTTTTAGGTTTTTATCACCTAAATCTGACATCCTAAGTTATAATAAATTTTTCCTTGTATGAGGAGTAAATATAATTATTTCAAATTGTTATGCACATACTGAAATTCAATTTTCCCAGAGAAACATTTTTTCAGCTCAAAGCAGCTTTTGTTCTCTTCCTTTAAAGTCTTGGATTTGGGTCATTAAAGGGGCAGTGACTTTTGAATTTTGAATATACGAAGTAAACTAGTGTTAAGGGCTAGTGCATAATTTTTCCACTCAAACTTACAGTGACATGTAATGACTCTGTAAGATGCAATTGTCTTAACTGTTAATACTTTCTTGTTGTCAGTTCTTTTAATATCATGATTTTCTATAAATGCCCCCCCCCCCCAAAGAATTGCTTGCCCTAAATAAGCGCCTCATTTTAGTGGCCAGGGGAAAATTTAACAAATGCAGCTGCACTTAAAGGGCTCAATGCAACTGTTATAGTTATTAACCTTTTACACCTTAAATTAGTATGCATTTTCTCTATAATGTTCTCTATGTATTTCTTAACATGTTAACAAGGAGGATTTGTTTAACAATCAAGGGCTTCTTTCGGAGGCGAGCGTGGCCTAGTGGTTAAGGCGCTGCACTTGTAAGCCGGAGGTCCCGGGTTCAAGTGCTCCTCCCTGCCACTGGATGGATTTGTCTACGGTGGCCCCGAATTCAACTCCTGCACGCTTTGTAAATAGCCAACTGGTCTGCCTCCTACCAGTTGGGGTTTTTAACGAGTTTCTGTTCATTTTACGATTCATGATCATCTCCTTTTTTCTTTTGACCTTAATGTTTGATTCAAGGGTGATGCTTGTAGGGGAAATCAGATGCTATAGTCACCCTTAGGGTCAAAGAGTTAAGAAAAAACTATCAGGAAACTATTGATGTTTACAGTGAGGTTAGGAAAAATTAGAGGGTGCCATCTTTCTTATTTCTACTCATTTTAATTTGTTGAAGCATCCAAAGAGCCTGGAGACAACATAAGAAACAATCTCAAGATCAGATCATTGTCAGACAAGGGACCACAAACTCACACGACATGCCAGGTTTTGATGCGGCATCACAACCGTTTTTTTCCACTCCAGACATGGGAAGTTTACATATAAGGACAAACCCATTTATGAAGAGTGCAGACAATGCTTCTTTTTGCGATGACGATAATCTTTCGGATGTTTTCAATGACAGCCTTGAACAGGTAGAAGAGGAAAATTTAAGAAATACTCAAGAACATGGACCTCATAGACATGTTTTATATGATGGCAATCACGTCTTGGAAAGAGACACATTTAATGATGAACTACCTGGAATGGATTCTGTCAGCTCGCCAGCTGAGTTGCCATCACCAACAACTGACTGGGAATCAATAGAATCATGTCTCACTTCAGAGGGTGAAACACAGGACTTCGAAAGCAGTGAGCTACCAGACACATCCAATGGAAGGCTAAAACACTTTTCCTTAAAACCAAATGATTTGCAAATATGCTTTGTTGACGATACGCTCCTAAGTGACGTTGAAGGGGATGAAGATGGCTGTGTCATAAAAGAGTATATTATTGAAAAACAGGATGTTTCAGATGAAGAAAAACGAGATTCGGGTTGCGTGGCAGGTGATGATGAGGCATCGGAGTCCTTTAGTATTAAAACAGTTAGACCAGAAACACTGGAAAGACATGAAATATCTCAGGAGGAATCTGAGAAAGTGTTGATAGAACTGAGAAAGCAGGAAAGTGAAAATGAAAAACAGGAAAATTATGCAAATGTAATGCTTGGATGGACTGAAGAGAGGTTACAAGAACTAAACTTGGAAGAACTGCAAGCACTCCAGAAAAATATGAGTCAACTGATTGAAGGTAAAGTGATGTAGAAAATTCTAGGACTCAAGTGTTGTCAATGCATGAATTGAAAATGTTTGATATTGAGCTTAATCACAGATGTTGAGTGATGCAGACTTGAACTGGAATAACAGATTTCTTAACTCTTTACACCCTTACATCAGTATTAATCTTCTCCATACTTTTCTATATACATTCCCTTTGGTACTGACAAGGAGAATCCATTTAACCCTTTTACTCCCAAGATCTAATTAGCAATTCTCCTTACTGTCTTCCATACAATTCTTATGACGTTAGCTCAGAGAATTTGGTATTGGATCAGCTAGTAATCCCATAATTGATATTCTTCTCTATTCTCATTACCTACCTTCTTGATACTGTATTGATATTGTAAGGAGAAATTTTGTCTTGGTCACTTGTGGGAGTGAAAGGGTTAACAATCAAATCTTCTTAGATTGGTGATCATTTTCTTTGTTCTCATGATCTTAATGACTGATTCAGAGGCATTACTGTAAGGAGAAATTAGATGCTGGTCACTTGTGGGGTTTAAAAGGTTATGTTGAGGTTTCTTTTTTTATTTGTATGCTACAAGTCTTCGGTCGTGAACATTTAGTTTTCTTTGCTAAAACAAGGGTTTTCTTTTTGATTGGTTGATTCACAGTTCATGTCTCAAATAAAATTATGAGTGTCTTCTTTAGTTTTTGAAAAAACTGTGGTGCACTTTTTTTTTAATTATTTTGATGTTTTGCTTCATAGCTCAAAATGAAGTGCTGGTAACTGAGTTAATGAACAGAGATGCTCTTCATCTTAGACAAGATTCTCTTCTCATGGATGTTGAGGATGCTTCAAAGTAAGTCATTGGTTATTTTGTGTTTGCTTGAGAACAACAAATAATTTTCATATTAATTGAAGATTTGAGTCTTCTTAGAAATGGCCTATTCCAGGTGCAAACTTGCAGAAAAGTCCTGGCCATCTAGGTTTCTTCACACAGTTCTAACATTCCTTAGACAAACTTGAAGCACTGTTCTTTTAAATCAACTTAACATTCCAAGTTCAAGGTGTCAAGAAAAAGTTTATTCACACAATAAACAATCAAGAGAAACAGTTAATTAAATTCAGTTCTTTTCACTTTCTTAAAACCCTATTCTGTTTTGTTTTGTTTTGCCAATGTTTTTTGGCTTTTTATTGACATGTGTAATCCTCTTTTCAGTTCAAAGTGATGAGTCTATCTTGTTGACGCTTCTTCAAGGCACAACTTATCATCTTAATCTAACATAAAAATTTAAAAAATTAGACAAATTTCAGTTTCTTAGGAGATCAGTACCAAATGTTAATGAATCTATTTTATCCTTGTTTACTTGGGGATATACATTGAAACATGTGCTTCACAAATCTTATCATCTTACTTATTAAAACGTAAACAACAAATAGTAATTTCTTAGTGCAACTTGTTGTTTTTCCATTGCATTACAATGTAATCAAGTGATAGGCAACCTTTTCTAATTAACTTGTGTGTGAGAATGTTATCATTAGACCCTTAACCTCTACAATTAACAGAGGATAATTGTGTTGTTTGGCTAACTCTTAACTTTGAAAGTAAGAACTTCATAGATTATATATTAAAACCGATTATTAAAAATTATTTATGATTAACTTGTATTCATCTTATCTCCAAGATTTCTGCTAAACAAGAGGCTTAACCCTCCTTTTAAAACTGCTTTTAAACACTGTATCTTTTACTTAAAGTATCTTACAGATGCTGCAACTTCTCATTAGGTAAACATGACTGAACATTAAGATGTAAAATAATTTGTTTTCTTTATAGTCAGATAACTGGGCAACATTATTTATTATTTCTTTTGTTTTTGTTTGTTTATGTTAACATTCTTTGATTCTTCATTTTTTTTATTTCAAACATCACTCACACCAGGAAACTGAAACATCTTTGAACAAAGACTTTCTGAGTCTGGCTTCATTGGGATTACACTTCTGTGTTGTTCAGTAGGACGGATTTCATTAGCTACAAGATCTGGCACATTTTATTTGTTGTTTTGCTTCACTTTTTTGTTGTTTACTTTTGTTTATTTTGCACAGAACTGCACAGGCACAATATCAGAAGACACAGAAAGGCAAAAAGTGATAGTTCTTCTCTGCACCCTATATTGCTCATGAACATTGTTATTTTTTGTCCTGTTGATATTTTTGTGTTACTGAGAGTTGTTAGAGATACACAAATTATTTCAATTATCAGTGGAGCATGAAGTGATTGTATTTTATTTTTAATAAGTGAGGAAAAGGAAAAACTAGTTTATTTTTAAGGCTGTTATTCTTCCAAATGAAAGTGCAATTGTAATACTAGTAAGCAAATTGCTCTCCTAAACATCTGAATAGGAATCCTATGAAAACTGAAACATTTTGACAGTTCTTACCCCATGTGATGGGTGTAGCTCATCTCTTAGGATTTCCTCAGTGGTTCTGTATATCTGCTGGGCTTGCCTTGTAATAATTATCCTAGGAAATTACAATCAGTTTACAAAAGTCACTAAATTGTTAAATTTATTATTAAAAATGGGTTTGAAAATAGTTTATTTTTGTATCATGTTTGTTAATATAGCTGAAGTTAAGGGTCAAAGATGTCTGAAAAGAGAGATGCGTAAAGCTGGTCACACAATAAATGCAATAATTATGTTACTGGTACTGCAAAGTGCTATTACCTAGACTCCTTATTAAGCAGACAACAGCATGAGTCTCATAAATACTTCTTGATACAGGTTTCATTGTGTTGCAAACTATACTGATAGAAGTCAAACCATTATTTATTTGCCAGGGTTGAATATTTGAACCATATCTTTTACAACAAAGAGCTTTCACAGGTTCTCATGATCAAACAACCCACTCTGGTTATTGTCATTTTGGATCAATATCGGTGTCTTAGCAACTGTGCACCAGCCCCTCCCCTAATCTACTAATCCAACAATAACCCTAACTTCTTAACAGTTGACTGTTGTTAGGTTGGGGGATGCTTCAATGTGTACTTGCTCAGATGCTGACATTAATCTACCTTTTTTTTTTCTGCCTTCATGGGTACAAGTAGCTCCAAGGCTTGAGCCTCCCTGTTGATTGAATTTTGTTTTCCTTTTTATCTGATTAAAAAGAAAAGTCTCCTTTGAAATTTATCCCACCTATTCCGTGGTTTTTTTTCTTTTTTTTTTTTTTTAGATTTGTAGTAGCTTCTTACACAGTTGCATATTTATCTCTCTTACCTCCAAACTCAGGCATGAATAATGGTTGGAACTTCTATTGCAGTCCTAGAATCTTAAGATTTTTATAAGACTAGTGCTCATTAGTCACCTTATGGTGTAAGTAATCTCTCAAGTTGTCTTAACCCTATCACTCCCAAGATCTTACTTGTAATTCTCCTTACTGTCTGTGATACATTTCTTCTAATATTAATTTTGAGAAATTAGAGTTGGGTCAAGAAAAAAATTCTCAGTCAATATTTTTCTTTATTCTCATCATTTGTCCTCTTGATATTGTATTTGTATTGTGAGGAGAAATTATGTCTTGGTTGATACAGGGAGTGAAAGGGCCCAACAAGCTCTTTCTTAATGGCAGACACTGCCACTATGTTTTTATGTTCACACTAGTAAGCCTTGCTGCTTCTGCTTATGAATGAACATTGTATTGATGTAACACATGTTATGAAGGTCAGCATTTGCAAATTGGGTCTAATCAAAAACCCAATTGAAATTGTTTATTTTTGGGAAAGAAAGGAGCTTTAGACAAAAGATAATGTTATTATAGATACTTAGTTGTGAATCATTGATTATTGTTGTGTAATGCTGTAAGGAAACTTCTATGATTGCCTCTTTGTTGCCCTCAGGTTAAATTAGTTTTTGACTTCTTTGTGTTGTTGCTTTGTTTGTTACTCACTGTTTGTCACTAAGATGGCATGACTCAACCTGACTTAAGTCATTTCTGGAATGCTTTGTGTTATATGTAGCTGTGGAGTTGCGCAATGTGTAGCATTACGATAATAGAAAAACTGTCTATGGCGCCATTTATTGATTGAAAGAAATAGTAATAGTTTAGAAACACTGTTGCAGTTTTTAAAGTAGATTTGTGCACAATGAAATAAATCGTTTGAAAACTAAAATGTACTGCTTGTGATAGTAGCCTGTTTTAATTCCTTTGAGAATGTGGCAGATTACTTGTAGAATGATTTTTGCGAGTTGTTTAATAAGCTATCGGAACAACGTTTTAGCATAGAATAGAAAGCAGGCCCCTTCAAAGTTCCCTTGCCCTCCCTTGAGATTTAAGAAGGAACGACCTCGAACCAGTTTCCCTCGGTTACCAGAAGGAGGTCTCGGCACGACTATCCGTTTGAACTGTTAATTTTCAAAGAAAATCCTCTATGCCTTGTGGTAACATAAAAATCTCCGGTTTTTGACAAATAAGTGTTACATCAATCATGTATCCAAATCTAAATCAAGTAACTTTAGAGCTATTAAGGTAAGATTTGAGAGAAAAGTTGTATATTGTCTTTGTGGAAATCTCCTTTTTGTTCAGTAACTGCAGCGGTTGGTTGGCGAAAGCCAGCACAAAGTTTAATCGTGACCAAATTTATTTTGTTTTCTCTTTATTAAAACAACAAAAAAATCAAATAAACGCTGTAGGAAACGAAGAGATTCAAGGTATCGTGTAGATAAAAAGTTTCACAGATATATACAGAAAATAACAACGGTAAGATTTTTCCTTTGTTGCATAACTTTATTGTATGTAAGTACTTTATAACAACGTCTCGCAAAGTTACTAGGAGTGAGCGTGCATTTTAACCAAGATTAAAAATGAAATTGCCCGGCTTATTTCATTACACCAAGAGCTCAGGAGTTCTTTAAAGTTATTGATGTACAATCAGGTGAAGGTGTACAGATTGGTTCATCTCGTAAATGGTGTATCCCAACAAGTTACGGAGATTCGTGAACTTTAAGACATGAAAGCATTGTTTGTGCATCACTATCGAGATACAGCCTTGATCTGACAATTTTATCATTTGTGAATATCCTATTTTTTAATATATCAGAATGCCTTCAATGAGATGTGAAACGTGCTGGAATTTTTTAGAGCGTTAGTCGCTATAGGCACACCCAGGAGAAATCACAGTTTCCTAAGTGCTTTCCAAACATCCCATGTACTTTATTTCTCAATGAACCCCACAGCTGACATACAAACCAATCGAATAATATGTATGTAACATTTTCGAAACTGTTATTTCAAGGTTTTGCAAGGAGAAATTCCCTCTGCCAAGGCGAGATGAGAACACACACATTTATTTTAATTTTAGCAATCCATTTTTGTGTTCTCTGTCCGTGCTATCACTGTAACATATAACATAATTTCAGGGCAAAACATCTTTTGTTTTTGCCCACGTAGCTGACATGTTCATCTCCTTTAAGTTGAATGACATTCTCATAACAAGAATCTACTCAAGTTATTGTGATATGCAAGCTCTCTAAATTTCAAATGAAAATGTGCACTTATAGAACAAGAAGAAAATTGAGCTGACAACAGAAGATTGCAGTTAATGGGATTTACATTTTACCTCACAATTTGAACTGTTTTCTCTATTTCTTCAAATTGCCTGGCAGAGTTCAGTTTTTAATGGCCTCATCATGGTGGTGATAGTCATGAATTCCTTTGTCATTGGCTTTGAGACAGTGGAGGAATGGAAGGTCCCACATAAGAATGTCTTCAAAGCTTTGGATGAGCTGTTTCTTGCCATTTACACCATGGAGTTCCTGATGAAGCTGTATGCTGAACCAAGGGGTTACTGGAAAAGCAGTTATAACAGATTTGACTTTTCTATCCTGGCGTTGTCATATGTTCAAGTCATCATGGATGAGCTGAATGTGGGTGATAAGATTCTCACACCTTTGAGGCTCTTAAGAGGTTTGTGATAGTTACCTTGACAGTTAGATTGAAGAGAAGGGAAGTCTACACACAAGAGTGACTTGCACAATTGTGTCAGCTTATCCAAACGAGAACAAAGCTTCCTAGACCAGGTCTTCAACCTTGTTCAGTTAAGCTGAGTGAGCGGACAATTAGGCAACCACTTCTCCCCAGATTTCTCTTTCAGATCCCTAGTAACCCAGATAAACACGTGACCTCTCCCTATAATTATATCCATATATTACCCTTAGACTAACCAGGTAAAAGTTATCTTGATCCAATACCAAATTCTCATAACTTATTTATAAGGAAATGTGTAGTACCTAGAGGCAAGAATTAACAATCAAATCTTGGGATTAAAGGGGTTAATTTGTAGCAACTTGCTCTATCTTCTGTTTGCAGCTGCTCGAACATTACGGACCATCTCCTTCATTGAAGGCCTCCAAGTTCTTGTCACAGCACTGATTGACACTATTAGGAACTCTGTACTCAATGTGGTGATCCTTCTTGCCATGCTGATGGCTTTCTTTGCTGTAGTTGGTTATTATATTTTTGGTTATGAAGAGGAGACTGGTGATAAAGAGAACTGGGGAACTCTCAGCACTGCTATGTTGACACTTTTCACATTTGTTACTGTGAGTTGTGTTCATGTTTTTTTTGCTTTGTTTTCAAACTGTTGTATCTAAAAGTGGATTGAATTTGGCAAGTTAGGAGGATTCTGTCTTCTTAAACCCACCTATTCCCAGGTGAAGGTTAAATATGAACTTCAGCTAATTAAAAGCCCTTATCCATGTCTCTGTAGTGTGGCATAACTTTGCTGTTTCCCCTGGCCAGGATGCCACTCCATTTCAGGTTAATTACCCTAGCTGTTTGAAGTCTGAGAAGCACTAACCTAGGGTTAAAAATTAATCCAGGTTTCTTTACTCCTTCGTACAAACGACTTTATTGAGATATGTTCCTATTTTATTATTAGAGCATCCAATCATCAGATTATAGACAAAAAGAATTGAAATTGAAATTTTCTTTTAAAGCTTGCAGATCTGAAGACAGATTTCCCAGACTAACCCTGGGCTCTCTTAACCCAGCTTTGAACCACCCAGCCCTGAGGCAGAGAAGCACTAATGGAATAAAATGACTTGACCAAGAACATAAGACAATGATCTGACCCAGTCTTGAAACCAGAGCTCTTAATAGGGAGTCTAGTGGGCTAAATATTAGTCCACTGCATCTTCGATTATATTATTCCCCTTTCCAGAAGTGAGCAGTAAATGATGATTCCATAGGAATGTCAATTCATTGATTTTGAACACAGACAGGTGGTTCTATAGCATGTGTTAAATTTATGTAATTAAATTTACAATTTGTAAATTGTTCTGTCCAGGTGGACGGTTGGACAGAAATCCAGAAAGACTTGGACAAAAGACCCTACAGCCAGTGGTTTACTGTGATCTTTATTTTCTTGGGCCACTTCATTTTCACCAATTTGTTTATTGGAATAATCATCATGGTAAGTCTAGTTTGTTAATTGTCCTAACATGCTTGCTTTTATTGAAAAATTTTTCTCATAAATCCCTGTTTGTGGCTGTATACAATGGTGTGAGCTGGGGGCTGTACAAACCTGTATGGTCTCTAGCGATGCCAGCTGAGAAAAGTTAATGAAGCAGAAGACAGAGCAACATTTCAAATGATGAAATGTTTTTCATGTCTGCCAGACAGGAAAATAAAATTTTGCCTCTTGTTCGTGATGCACAGACCTTACTGTGCTTAGTCTATGGGTCATGATCTCAAGCCAAATAGCAGTATTTTCTTATCTGGCCCTCTCATGCAGTTAATAAGTACATGGTATTGTTAATGCAAATTTTTTTGATAGTCATTCACTTCCTAGCCTTGTATGTTTATAGGTAATTGGTGGTGTTAACAACTGAGTTGAAAACATAAATTGGCCACTATAAAGAGTTTGAAGGCTGACATTTCAAGCATTAGCCCTTTGTCAGAGCAATTGATCTTTAACTGTATGTTAATACTTCAGTAACTTCTCTTTCTATATATATTTTTTTAATATAATTTTCTGTGATTAAAAACATTATCTAATATTATAAATTTTTTATAGAACATACACGAGGCCACAGAGAAGTTCATTACACAGCAGAGACAAGAACGTGAAGCAATTCTACAGGTTAAAACTTAGAGTTAAACAAATCAACTGTATAATTAATGAGTTCAAGTTTTTTTTACTTTTCAGAAGTATCAAGGATCCCTAATTTTAAAAGTTTACAGATAAATGGTTATTACTGGTAATTTAAAATTCAAAGAAATTCTTCAGGACAAAGATTTTCTGTCACTGACAATCAAGTTTTTTTTATGTAGATGAAGAAAGATTTCCTCTTCCAAAGACAACGTGATGATGTCAGAGAAATGTTAGAAAAACAGGTATTTAATTGTTAGATTATGAGAAAGTCTGTTCATAAGAAACATGGGAAAGCTGCATGAAAAGTCCAATAATTTGCATAAATACCTTTAAGTTCTCAGATGGTCTTAACTGTACCTGCAGTCAGCAAAGAGAAGGATCATAACCAAAGCTTGAATGAACGTAGTCCATTTGAAGTATTTTTGGTGTCAAAAATCTTGTATGTTAAAATCTAGACAACCTAGAAAAAACTTAAATGCAGATTATTTACTGAGTGTTCATCTCTGTCAAAATAATACTTTACATTTAAACCATTTTGACCAGAAAGATTGCCAAACTTAATGACTGACAGTTTTACTCATTTTGCCCAAGAAAGTACATTTGGGTTCCATTGAAGAAATCAATTAAGATTCTAAGTAATTCCCAAGAATTAAAACATGAATCTTATGTCATCTTGAAAAGTTTTCCACCAACATTTCAACATTTGGTGTCTGATCATTTTCAGAAATTCTCAGCAATTCCAAGTTTTGAGTTTATTTTCTTTTGCATGTCTTGGAATTATAAGGAATATTTCCTAAGGATTCCAGTGATCTCCATGTTTCCATGGAATTTATTTTTCAAGGAGGATTTTCTAGTACTGACCACCTTATTTCCATCCATTAGAAAAACAGCCAGTATGCTAACTTTGAAGAGATGACCCAGAGCTTCCAACAGACACTACGCCATGATGATTATGTAATCATGTCTGATCCTTGTGCCAATTTAACATGGATAGAGGCATTCCTTACTACAACAGACCATCTGGATCTTTACACTTACAGGTTTAGTCTGATTTCAAAAATTTATTTATCTATCTTAAGCATGAACTACAAGTAGTCCCTCATTTTGGCAGTCTGTCATACATGTTTTTAAGGGAGGAAGCCCTGATAAGTTGGGAAAAAAAAAGAATAGTAGTGCTTAGAAGGGAATAGCTCACATGCAACACTTGGGGTCTGGGAATCAAACTTTTCAGGCCCACAATGGTTAGAGGCAGCTGTTGGACTTACACTATTCCTGCTCTGACCAGTCTTTCACTGTTACCAGATTGAATAGGTAGGTGGAGTGTTGTTGGAGAGAAAACATCCTGACAACTGATGGAGAAAGGTCAGGAGAGCATGGAGGAGAATCAACTATAAACCCAAACTATAATGCGACATTAGGTCTGGGAATGGAACCCAAGTCACAGCAGTAAAAAGCAAGTGCTGTCATAAATGTTCCATCCCAAGGAAAATCCCTCCCCCTTAAGAATCCCAAGTGCAAAGAATAAGCTGCCAAGTTTACAGTCCTATGTCCAAGGGAAAGGGGGGGGGGGGGGGGGGGGGGGGGGTGGCCCAGAAGCCTCAATAAGATATGGGTAGAAGTGATGCACAGTCTTCATGTGTATAGCCACTTGAATAATTTTTTTTGCAAATCTAACCCCAAATATTCTCTCTGAGTGTGCTTGGATTTGTATGGGTAAGGTTTATGAACCACACTCTATAGCAGTTTTATGTGTCAAACAGGTTGGCAAAACAACAGAATATCTTCTTGACAGAGTCAGGATTGCCACAACCTTATTCCTCACCTGCCATAAAGGGCCATTTCACTTCATGGTCAGCCTTATATGACTTTAAATACTTAAAATTATTTTCTCTCCTTTTCAGATGCCAGCAAATCCAATTTCAAATTGCCAATGTTTTGGCAGATATGGCAGAGATGAAGTTAAAGGAGAAAGAGCAGCAAGAGGATGCAGTCCAAGCTTCAGCATTGCCAAGAGGAATGCAGTTGTTCATGAGAGCAAAGGCTGCAATGGCAAAGAAGAGTGCTTGATGCAAAACATTCCCTGTAGTTTATTGATATACTTCTTATTTTCTGCTTAAAGCTCACACAAAACATGATTTTGTTCATATGGATTGGTGCTGCAATCAAGTTTAAAGAAATTTTTTGAAGCCTGTTATTAAAAAGTGGTCTCTCTTCATTTGGCCAGTTATTTTGAGGTTTGGTTTAAAATATCACAACTTTGCATGTGTACATAAAAGTAAAGTACTCAAAATTATCATTGAGTCTTATTTAAATTTCAAAGTTTTATTTTCTCTTCTGTGACAATTGTTGGAAAGCATAAATATGCAAAATATATTGCAAAACTATTTTTTGGCACTAAATATATTAATACATTGTGCTTTTGTTTGAAAATGTGATGTCAATTTTGAAAACAAATTGTATTTCACTATTTAAAAATTGTTAGAACCTTTCATTACCATAGAGTGACATTTAAGTCTGCCTCTTTATTCTTAGTGAAAAATATTGTTGCTTTCTTAACCAAAAATTTGGGGCATTGTGGCTATATAGAGGCACAAAAAGTAACACAAGTTGGGATTTCCACTGGTTTTCATAATTAATCAGACTTATTTCTGTGAAGTTGGATCACCAAAGGCTGCTCTAGATGTTGTCACAAATGAGTTGTACTGTTTCTTGAGCACTTTTGGATCAAGTTCTGGCTGATGACCTGGAAATGCTATTGGTTCTCTTGCTTTAAAAGAAAAAAAAACAAAAAATTTTAAAATCAGATCTTCAACCACAAGTTTACTTTCACATGACTCTACTTAACAGTTAAGCCTGGTTTTTACTGGTTGTATGCACTGGCACTAGGAAAAGAAGAAGGGAAAATTCTGATTTGAATGTTCTGTTTTATCAAAAACCTATTGGTTGCTGCACTGGTAAAACCATATTTATTTTATAAAAGCAATATATAATAACTGACACAGGATGTTGGGCAAAAAATTAAGTGAAAAGTTGGTAATCACCTCTCCCCACCTGCATGGTGAGTTACAAACTTTTCTTGTGTTCTCCCAACATCCTAAGTGGGTTATTACACTGATATATGTCATAAACCAATAAAATGAGCATTCTATTGCTTGTTCAGTAATGTACACCAGTAAAGGGCAGAAAGTGAGAATTGAAGGTTTAATATACTGGAAGTCAATGTAAAGGAAGTGGGAGATTAGTATGCCTGTCCACCCCTCCTTCCCCCAATTGCTACTAGGAATGGCAGGCCTTAGTTCCAATCATTGTTTACTAGTCTTTATATCAATAATAACTGTGGTTATGTTCAACCTGGGGTTGCTTAAAGGCTCGTGATACCTTATGGAGGCTGTGATAATGGTATCCCTTAGTGTTTAGCTTGTACAGTAAATGGAATGTAACGCAACCCCTACTACGTCACGCTTTGAAGAATTACGAACTAGGAAAAAAAATTTACATTCTTGCTCACCTTCAAGATGTTTTAACGCCTCTGGTACTTTGCTTCTGTCAACTGCATGATATCCAGTACCATACGTCGTTTCAAAATAGTGATTATACTGCAGATTTGAATCGAAAAAGTTGCGGTTAAGGTACTTACGGTTGGACTTTGTTCGCTCTGATTTGCGAGAAATCTAAGATAAAAAAATCCTGATTGAATTGATGGCCTTACAGAGGGCCTTACAGTTATTGTACCTGTGAAGGAATTGGTTTTGGTTTTGAAATTCTATTGATGTCAAATCGCTGTTCATTCCAGTTGCCGATCAGAGTATTTGTGTTGTAGGAACTCTCGGTATTCGTGCATCTCCAACCAAACTGCTGAAGTTTTTTTTCGTCTGTATGATCCCAAACTTCCCCGTGGCCTGTAGCTCTAAGCTCACTCACAAATGGCATTATATTCTGAGAGGAAGCGTATGTCATCTTGGTGTGATATTGGATAATTTGTCCTCCGTTATTCTTTCTCCGATCTTATCTTCTTTTCGAAACTTTGTTGATATGACAACAATGCGCGTCTTCGCCCGAGGCATGGGTTCCAGCGCTGGTGTAAACCGCCTAGTCGGCATGGCAACAGGTTAAAGTAAATCTCACGCCGGCCATTTTGTTTTGACAGAATGTGAATACTTTTTCACGCTGAAATTACCGTATTCATCCAGAGAAAAAGCCATGTCTTCAACACAAACTGTAACTCAAGGAAAACTTCAAAACTCCAGAACTCACGACTACCTTTATGGTAAGTATTTGGGCTGATATTGAAACGAAGCTGAAATCTTTTTTATCTTAAGCTCCATTTGCTTGACGTACCCTGTGATTAAAACTTCTCCTTTTTTTCGCGCAACAAACTTACCAAGTATCCTTCAACTTTTTTTCCTTTGTATGTGCACTGTGAGGATAATAACGAAATAAGTGGTCTAGTATACTTTCAAGACAATCCTTGGCATTTACCCCAAACGATTATATCTTGTCCGACTGATACCCATCGGTGTAACCTTGTGCATTTGATGATTGAAGAAGATCTTATGGACGGGAGAAAAATAATTTTTGAATATGGAAGGCGCATCAGATTGAAATGAGAACTAACTTAAATGACGAACGAATCAAGGCCATCTAAGTATTTTTACGAGGGAGCATTAATCTTTACACTTTGTGTGTTGCATTGTGGCGAGAACTGATTAGCAGTGTCAAAATATATACTGCAGCTATACACTTGATTATACTGGAACCTGGTATACATATGTTTTAAGCGTATCTTTTTTCTTTCAGATCCACTGTACACATTATCAAGTGATAGAGACCATGCAAGAGCAACGTTTAAGGCGCACACTGGGACAGATAGAATTGTAAGTCTGAAATATGATGTCCACTCTTTAATTGCATTGATCTTTAGGGTATCTTATCAGTTTCGGACAGTCTGCTTTGAAGCAATAGTCATCAAATTTCATCTTTTCTCTGTCTACGCTACAGAAACGAGTTCCACATTTCAAGACAATGTTCAGTGACCTGCGTCACTATCCAAGATACAGCATCCACCTGGAGGTGACAGACCCTGTGCCTAAGTTCATACCACGACAGTGGAGGGGATATGCTGATCAAGATAGAGAAGCTCTCATCAGATACACCAAGTAAGGCTTACTGTATTTCTTGAATATTGGTTGCAAAACCAGAATCTATAAACCTACCAGCATGGTATTTTTCCAATATAAGGATGGATAATACCATTATCCATCACCCTTTTCCTTTTTTGATATGTTTGATCAGATAAGCATGATAATTTTTACAAATGCTATTTAATGAATTACTGTTATGCAAGGCTTTTTATAGATAAAACACAGTTATGCAGGTCTCTTTGTAGTTAAGATTGTGCTTTATTAAGACTTTTAGTCATTAGCTAAATTTAAAGAGAAGCTTCAAAACAGGTTCCTATCCAATCCTAACCCGAATTTATCAAAAGAATTTGAAAAGAAAAAACAGATAATTTAGAGACTGTAAGAGTCCTTGTCAATCTTTAAAACAAGCAACATATATATGCATAAATTTGAATGAAAATTCACTTAAAGTATAAATGTAGTACCAGTAATTCTTTATTTTGGATGTAATTTATAGTGTTGGGCTTTTCATCTCTATCAGGTTCAACTATGATCCATCAGTTCAAGTTCCTCCTAAACATCATGAGAAAGTGCATGTTTCTGGGACAGACCGATATAAGTTTTTCCGCAGGCCAATTATTCCATTTTTGCAGCAAGTTCCTCCAGATGTTCTCTTGCAGTCATCTAAGTAAGAGACAATTATGTTCCAGTTTGAGTTTACTGTTGCTGATATTTTTAATTGATCAGCCATTTTCGTTATTTGCCACTAATTATCACTGTACATGCATAATTACAGAATGGACCCCTTAGCTGCCCCTGAAATGGAAGCTGAAAGGCCACCCACCCCAGCTACACGCACAGTAGAAGTACAAACTGATTACAGAGACAGTGAGACACAAACAGACCCATATACTCCAGAGTATGTTGTACGACCAGGTTCACAACCTGAGCTGCTCACACTGGCTACTCTTTCATATGGTAAATTTAGTACAAACTAGTGATTTATATAGGCTTAACTACCAGTGCCTGTTAAGGAAATGAATCAAACTCCTCTCCTAAAGAGAGGAGCACTGATGACGGTAACCTGATGAAAACAACAGAGCATTACCAGTGATACATTTATCATTATTTTTATTTCCTTACTTTTCTCATGCTGCTTAAGTACATGTTTGTGAGTGCCTGCTATTGTTGTTGTTTATGTGTCTGTGTACTTTCCTTTTTAACCTAAAATATCTTGTACCTAAATCACACAAAAAAACTGACATCTCACTTTTGTAAAATAGGAGCCTGTAGCTTGCATAAGCCTCTTGGTTTCCGTACAGGTTTTCTTGCCACATGCTAAATCTTCAGCTATATCATATTTATGTATATGAAATTACTCTTTTATTCCTACTGATGTGTTATAATTACAAAATGGCATAAATAAACAAATAAACAAAAATTAATAAATAAACAAATAAAAAATGCAAAGTTATACCTAATACATGCAGATGGCAAGCTTAATGATTGTCATGTTAAAGTTAATCAAAGTGTGCACGCTTAGATCCAATCAACTGTAGATCAATTTGTTTAGTTATTGGAAATAATTGTTGCAATTACAGAACAGTTGTTCTTTGTTTAGTTTCCTAGATATATGTAATTGAAACAGCAACAGCAATACACTTGATACAACCATTGCCTTTAGTTCAGTCACAATTGTCTCAGTTTTATATAATAATGAACATGAAGGGTAACTAACAGCCAGAAATAACCTTAACCCTTTACACCCAAACATCAATATCCATATTCTCTATACTGTCCTCCATACATTTCCTAAGGTGCTGATAAAGAGAATTTGGTTAGTAATCAAGAGCTTTTTTAATTGGTGATCATTTCCTTTATTCTTGTGACCTACATATGTGATTCAGAGGTGATATCATAAGGAGAAATTATATGCTGGTCACTATCAGGGGCCAAAGGGTTAATTTGATAAAATACCAGGTTGCTTGATGGAATTAATTACCAATATATAATTTTGCAGATTATGAAATAAATAATTGAAATAAAGAGTTGACAATGCACTGTATCTATAGAAGTGCATTTTCCATTTAATCAAATCAGGTATATGAAGTTTAGAACAAAAATAGCAGACAGAGTACTAAGTGCTACAAACGCAGGAATAATGAACTTGAACATTTTTCAATTATTATTTCTTGAAGGTCATGGCTTGCCAGCCGGACTAGCGGAAGTAGAGATGATTGAAAGAGCAAGGGCCAAACGAGCATGGTAAGAACAATTTATCTTCTGACAAAAGGATGAAGGGAGTTTATGCTTATGGATGAGCTTTGGTCTTCAGTTCATGATGCCTATCAGGAATGCTTAAGACAAATAGGTTTTACATCTTTGAAACCCTTCAGCTTTGAACCGCATAATAGTCTCAACAGGTTGCGTCTACGTGTTTGACGTGAGGTGATGCAGTTCATGTCTTCTCGTCTCTACAGGGAGGCAACACTTCCAGCTCTGAATGACACAGAAAATCTTGAAAAGAGAAAGCGAATGATGGACGAACAAGAACGAAGAGAGTGGTCATTCAGAGAACAAGAAATTGAGAAGTAAGTTTTTTGGTCGCTCATTTGATAGAAATTTGTACTGTATATATATTAAAGAAATAAAAAACGCGCCGAGTGCATTATTGAGTTATATAAGCAAGAGGGAATTTTTAAGAACACGAGAGAAGTGCCGAGAAGCACGAGCCGAAGGCGAGTGCTTCTCGCACTTCTCGAGAGTTCTTAAAAATTCTCAAGTGCTTATATAACTCAACAGTGCTCGAGGAACAAGTCTTTTTATTTCTTTTATAAAATGTATTGTGAATTGCGCGTGCACGTGCCGATGACTTAGGCTGCGTGTATGACGTAAGGCGCGTGCTTTATGGAAATATAATGAACCCGTTCTGACCAATCACGGCGCGCGCATTTATAAAAGCGTATCTGGACCCTTAAAGAAAATAACATTAACCACTATATTTCATGGCGCATCCTTTCATCAAGATCGCCCCACAACTGCGCAAACAAAAGATGCAACCTCTGCCTTAAAGAAAAATTACTCATCTTTCGCCGCCCCGAATTATTATCACTCAATAAACGTAATGAGCTCGTGTCCTCATGCCGCCGTAGAAACAAAATGTTACTGCGTAACAATTGAAATATTGATTTTATGCAAATTAAAGTATATAAACGATGGTACGAATATTCTGGACTATAAAATCCCCTGATGAGTGAGCAACTACGAAACAGGCTTGTATGGATGAAAGTATAGTCTCTCTGTTTTTTTTCCCCTATCGCAACATATATCGCGCTTTACTTCTACATATTGAGCATTGTAAAACGGAAAAATCAATACACAGACTTCCTATATA